GATGAACCTGTCAAGCTTCTGCAAGACAGAGGTCTGCTGCTAATTGAGAATATGTATACCTGGAGTTTACCTGGAGAGAGTTCCGGGGATCAACGCCCCCGCGGCCCGGTCTGTGACCAGGCCTCCTGGTGGATCAGAGCCTGATCAACCAGGCTGTTACAGCTGGCTGCACGCAAACCAACGTACGAGCCACAGCCCGGCTGGTCAGGAACCGACTTTAGGTGCTTGTCCAGTGCCAGCTTGAAGACTGCCAGGGGTCTGTTGGTAATCCCCCTTATGTATGCTGGGAGTGATTTTCGTGTGCAAGTTCGGTACTAGTCCCTCTAGGATTTTCCAGGTGTATATAATCATGTATCTCTCCCGCCTAAAGGGAGGGTGTTGAATAATCTTGTTCTCTTTGTGCTTACGGAGGTAACACTTACTGTACTTATTGCACGTGTTTTTCATTTAACGTTATATTTTTTTTACAGAGTACGATAACTCTACGACTACAATACCTCTACAACTACAGTACCTCTAGTTCTCGTAAAGAATTATAACGACTATTTTAGTATGTCAGTTTGGAACCAATACCTTGAGTAATTTCCTAGTGGAAATTATTATATATTTTTCTTGCCCGCACTTAAAGCACATACAGTTTGAAGGATTTTAGGCCTTCAAATATCAGCTGTTTGATGGTATTAATGAGGGCATTAAAAGATGTCTTGTACATGGCAAAAACCACATCCAGTACAGGGCCTCTGCTTAAACGAGATGAGACTTTGATGACAGCAAAGAAATGAGTGAGATACTGAAGTGCCAATATGACTAAGCGTTTAGTGAGCCGTTAATCAGACTAAAGGTCGACAATCTAAATGATTTTTTATGGCCGAGAGTCAAAATTTGGTTAATTCAAGAATTTCTGATATAATCCTAACACCACAGGACTTCGAAAAAGCAATAAATGACATGGCCATGCACTCTGCCCCAGGTCCAGACTTGTGGAACTCCGTGCTCATCAAGAACTGCAAGAAACCCCTTCCACGTTCCTTAAATATTCTATGGAGAGGGAACATGAACACAGGGGTCATCCCAAAGACACTAAAAACGACGGATATAGCCCCACTCCAATAAGGTGGCTGTAAAGCAACTGCAAAGAATTACAGACCGATAGCACTAACGTCCCATGTCTTAAAAATCTTTGCAAGGGTTTTAAGAGGCAAGGTTACTTACCACTTGGATACCCATCAATTGCACAACCCTGGGCAGCATGGGTTTAGAGCAGGTCACCCCTCTCTCTCACAACTACTGGATCACTATGACATGGTTTTAGATGCACTGGAGGACAAACAAAATGCAGATTTAGTGTACACTGACTTTGCGAAAACCTTCGACAAGTGCGATCATGATATAATAGCACACAAAATGCGCGATAAAGAAATAACGGGAAAAGTAGATAGATCTATAACTTTCTAACAGAACACAAAGAATAACAGTAAACACAGTAAAGTCAGAGGCGGCTACAGGGAAAAGCTCTGTTCCACAAGCTACAGTACTCGCTCCCATCCTTTTCCTCACCCTCATATCTGACACAGACAGGGATGTAAGCCACAGTACGCCCTGTCCTCCTTTGCTGATGATACCAGAATTTGCATGACAGTGTCATCCATCAAGGACACTGAAAATCTCCAAGCGGAAGTCTTTAACAAGATTCGGAAAATAATATGAAGTTCAAAGAAGATAAATTTCAATAACTCCTCTATGAAAAACTCGAGGAAATAAAAACTGGATCAGAGTATAAAACAATTTCCAACCATACAACAAAGCGAAAAACTAATGTGGAGAACCTGGGAGTGGTAATGTCAGAGAATCTCACTTTCAAAGATCACAACAATATATCTACTACATCTGCCAAGAAAATGATAAGACAGATAATGAGAACTTTCAAAACTATGGATGCCAAGCCAGTGATGATTCTCTTCAAATCGCTCATTCTCTTTAGGCTGAAATACTGCTGTGTACTAACGGCTCCTTTCAAAGCAGGGGAAATACAAACCTGGAAAATATACAGAGAACTTTCACTGCACGTATAAGTACAATAAAACACTTAAATTACTGGGAACGGCTGAGGTCCCTTGACCTGTACTTCTTGGAATGCAGGCGAGAAAGATACATGATAATATACACTTGGAAAATTCTAGCGGGACTAGTCCCAATTCTACACACGGAAATCACTCCCTGCGAGAGGAAAAGACTCGGCAGGCGGTGCAACATCTCCCCAATGATAAGCAGGGCGCCATGAGTACCTAAGAGACAACACAATAAGTGTAAGGGGCCCAAAACTGCTCAGTTGCCTCCCAGCATGCTGTCCTCAATAGGAAGTTGAACAGACAATTGAAGTCAGTACCAAACCAGCTGGGTTGTGGTTCATACGTTAGTTTGCGTGCGGCCAGCAGCATCAGCCTAGTTGATCAGGCTGTGATCCAAAATGAGGCCTAGTCATGGACCGGGCCGCGGGGGCGTTGACCCTCGGAACGCCCTCCAGGTATATTCCAGTCTTCTGGTCTGTAATGTTTCCTGCAGTAACATTCCAGTGTAAGAACATAAGTGATATAAAAAGTGTCGTGTCATCATGGCTCGGCATCTCCTGTTTTGAATTATTATTATTAAATTTATTGTGAAGTATTAACGTGTAGAAGTCAGAGAGAGCCTTGGCAAAAAGAAGTGATCATATTTATCCAAGGAAGAAGGTCGTTTCAATTCTCTGAATCAAAAACTCTGCAAAGTCGTCGAGGCAATCGTATTTTAAACATTTGGGTTATCCAGCCTATCACATTGCTTGCAGCCGTGACAACAGTACTAATAGTCCTAATACCATAGATGTAAAATCTCCCAGACCCTTTACAATCTTCAGTCGATTAACGCTGCCACAAGCATTATTCGTGTGTGTTTTATGTATATGTCATGATTTGTGTATCATCTGACCTCTCATGTTGCAGTCAGTCATCATCAATCAGTTATGAATAGTTAGTAAATCTTGGCTAGTAAATAGTTTTCATTTTTCTTCTTGACTCTTTCCAAGCCTGTTCTCTTCTGTATCCTTTGTCTGTTCGTTACTGCCCGGTGCATGTTTATTACTAAAAGTTGTCTGTTCATTATTATCAGTTACTGTCTTCTCTGTCAGTTGCCATTCATCCTTACTAGCTAGTTGCCTGTCTCCCTTTTCCTGTTTTTGTTAAGTTTAGACGGTGTTTTATTTGCCACGAGATATGGAAAAAATTTGTAAGTTGATTTTTGTCATATGAGCCTCTCCATGCAGTATATTATTATTATTATTATTATTATTATTATTATTATTATTATTATTATTATATTATTATTATATGTGTTTGTAATATTTAGGGGAAGCACTATACCCATAAGGGTCTATTAGCGCCTCGGCAATGGGAGATGTCAGGTTTAGTGTAGTGAGGATAATTCCAAAATTTCGCTTGCCAATGATTTAATAGTAAACAATCCCAATAAAATATATTTTTTTGATAGGTTCAAAATGATTTTTTGCGAAATTACTGCATACACAAATTTTCGCTTGCCTTATTCGGCAAGAAGAGCTTTGCTATTTAATCCAATATCGTAAGATTTACCTATTCGGCAGAATTTTTCCTCCGTAAGCCATGCGTGTTGCAAGAGGCGACTAAAATGCCGGGAGCAAGGGGCTAGTAACCCCTTCTCCTGTATAAATTACTAAATTTAAAAAGAGAGACTTTTGTTTTTCTTTTTGGGCCACCCTGCCTCGGTGGGATACAGCCGGTTTTTTGAAAGAAAGAAGAATATATATATATATATATATATATATATATATATATATATATATATATATATAATATATATGCAAGGAATTCGAGAGAGCAGGCGAAATATGCCACAAACACTGATCTTTGGCTGAAGGAGACTCGAACCTTGTCCTAAGGTTCGTAGGTTCGAGTCTCCTTCAGCCAGAGATCAGTGTTTGCATGTATATATAATATATATATATATATATATATATATATATATATATATATATATATATATATATATATATATATATATATATATATATAAAACACACTGCGCTAGCAGTGTTGTTATTGATCATTACCACTCTTTCGTGGTTACAATAATATATAAATGCTACTCGTGAGGCTAGTACACCAAACAGGGATGAGAATGAAATTAGCTTAGAAGCTCCCACACATCCGTATGCCCTCGGATGGTGGCCCAACAGCTAGCTCTGTGCTGGCTGCGCCATTCTTGTAGGGTTGGGTGGTCCTGTGGTTTAAAGCATCATGTGGTTCTCGCTTACCATGAGGCAGGCCAGTACAACATGGGTTCGAATCCTTGGCTAGTGCAGTGTTGTTATTGATCAATATATATATATATATATATATATATATATATATATATATATATAATATATAATATATATATATATTATATATATATATGTGTGTGTGTGTGTGTGTGTGTAATAAGCCATATATCATAAAATATTCTCATACAGCATATAATATTTGAAGCTAATAAAACCACATTCAGACGAAGTCCAGAACTGGTAAGCCACTGATCATTACCGTCGTGGTCCACTGTAGTAACACTCAGACCAGAGTCCAGCACTGGTCTGTAGTCGCATGTTGCTGTGGTCCAGTCGCAACGACTCGTCTTAATTGGTTTTTCCTGAAGAATGAACCAGCAGTAACATTCAACCGTAATATGTCAAGCCAAGGGCTGTATTGTAACTTTTTATATGTACTTTGAAAATTTGTTGTTCTTTTCACGATTCATAATTAGAATATTGTGGGTCATCAGGCACACGGAGGATAGGGAGCCGGACATGCTTCCTGGAAACGACCTATCGTCACGTAGTCAAATTGTAAAATATTATTACCGGACATACTTCCTGAAAACGACCGATCGTCACGTAGTCAAATTGTAAAATATTATTTTTGCTTAAGAGTGTTCAACTTAGTTTGCTTCAACAGAGATGGTGTGTGTTGCGAAGCTGCTGATGGTGTTGCTGGTGTCTGTTCTCACGCCTTGGGGTGTCTGGGCGGCCAACCTCCCCCCCGCCCACCTTCTGCATGCTGCCCACACGGACACCAACATGCCAGACATCACCATAACGGACGCCGCCCACACGGACACCCTCAAATCGGACAACAAAATGGATACCAAGAATCTGGACACTGCTGAAAGAAGCACTCAAAATCTGGAGACTACCCAGGCAGACACCACCCAAATGGACACCCATAATTTGGACCCTGGTCAGATGAACACTGTCCACACAGACACCCACAAATCAGACATCTCCCAGTCTGACACCATGGAGTCGGACGCATTGGATAGGGCAGCCCGTAAAGTAAACACAATCGCTCAGCAACTCCTTCAGTTGAACGCTGCCCGCATCTCCCTGCCACAACAGGATACCACCAGCAGTATCTACAGCGACCCACGAGTGGATAGAACGCCGGCAGACTTCCATGGGTGACAGAGAACCAGCAAACGCAGCACCGGTACGACCGTCACTTCAGCACCTTCGACGTGTGTGCAGACTCACTGTGTGACCAGGTGGTGCGTCAAGCCAACGGCCTCGCCAGGATCAAGATGGTCAGGAAGTACATTATGGACACTGTGAGTATCGGTACAACTGGTATGGTTTAAAAACACATGTAGCAAAACCTCTAGAACATAATCATTAGAAAACTTTTCGGTCTCAATACCGAAACGTTTTCTAATAAACATGTCACAGTGTTTGCTCATGTGTTTGTTTTAAATAGCTTGTTTATATCATACTGAACTAGTATGATAATATCCACAGGTTATTGATACGTATGTATACATTAACACATATAACAAGGAAACGTTTCATCACTATGTACGAAGTAATTAATGCTACATAACCAGACCCCAAAAATATGTTTGTGTGTGTGTGTGTGTGTGTGTGTGTGTGTTACACCGAGATGCAGTTTCTCTATACATGTCTTGTATTTTTGTTTGTCTATCTAATACATTGCGATGATCATCATTATTAGATAAAACGATGTTAATCAGCATTATAATATTACATATTCATTTTCATCTTTCTCATGTTTTCATTATATATATATATATATAATATATATATATATATTATATATATATATATATATATATATATATATATATATATATATATATATATATATATATATATATATATATACACATATATGTCGTGCCGAATAGGCAGAACTTGCGATCTTGGCTTAAATAGCAATGATCATCTTGCCATATAGGACAAGTGAAAATTTGTGTATGCAATAATTTCCCCAAAATCATTCTGAACCTAACGAAAAAAATATATATCACTGTGTTTGTTTAGTAATAAATTACTGTAAACAAATCTAAAATATATTTAGTTGGGTTAGGCTAAAATAAATTGCTCTTGTTATAATTCTAAGATTCTTTTGGTGCAAAATTATAAATTTTTACATTAACATTAATAAAAAAAATATATCTATAAACATATAAGAGAAAATTTCAGAAAGGACTTAATTTTAAATGAGTTCTTGCTAATTGACCAGTTTTACATATTCGGCACGACATATATATATATATATAGTATAATATATATATATATATATATATATATATATATATATATATATATATATATATATATATATATATATATATATATATATATATATATATATATATATATATATATATATATATATATATATACAGTAGACCGTCATTTAGCACGGTAGTTACGTTCCTGAAAATGCCGTGTTAGGTAAAATCGCGTTATATGAACTGAAGAACTAATGGGAAAGATAGGGTTACGTTCCTGGGAGCCCCCAAAAAGCCAAACAACTTTATTTAAGGCCTCCACATCCTACAAAAATAAAAGTAAATATGTAGTTTTAGTTCATTGTTGTCATATATTATGTCGTTTTTACTGCTTAAGACTACAAATGTAACATAATTACTAGTATATCTTACCTTAAATGATGGGTGCTGGTGTTTGTGGATGATTGTGAAGAGAGTGGAGAGTTATGTTGTGGTCCTACTGGGCTGAGGTGGATGGTAGAGGTTCTGGTACTGAAGTTGATGGTTGTACTGGAGTGTCTAACTTTAAGTCATTCAATCAAGTCACTAAGTAAGTCAGTCAAGTCACTGAGTAAGTCATTCAAGTCACTAAGTCAGTTAAGTCAGTAAGTCAAGTCACTAAGTCAGTCAAGTCAGTAAGTCAAGTCATTCAGTAATTCAGTCAAGTCACTCAGTAAGTCATTCAAGTCACTAAGTCAGTTAAGTCAGTAAGTCAAGTCACTAAGTCAGTCAAGTCAGTAAGTCAAGTCATTCAGTAATTCAGTCAAGTCACTCAGTAAGTCAGTCAGGTCACTCAGTAAGTCAGTCAAGTCATTCAGTAAGTCAGTCAAGTCATTCAGCAAGTCAGTCAAGTCATTCAGTAAGTCAGTCAAGTCACTCAGTGAGTCAGTCAAGCTATTCAGTAAGTCAGTCAAGTCACTCAGTAAGCCAAGTCATTCAGTAAGTCAGTCAAGTCACTCAGTAAATCAGTCAAGTCATTCAGTCAGTCAAGTCACTCAGTAAGTCAGTCAAATAACTCAGAAAGTCAGTCAAGTCACTCAGCAAGTCACTCAGTAAGCCATTCAGTAAGTCAGTCAAGTCACTCAGTAAGCCAAGTCATTCAGTAAGTCAGTCAAGTCACTCAGTAAATCAGTCAAGTCATTCAGTCGGTCAAGTCACTCAAAGCCTTCGACAAGTGTGACCATGGCGTAATAGCGCACAAAATGCGTGCTAAAGGAATAACAGGAAAAGTCGGTCGATGGATCTATAATTTCCTCACTAACAGAACACAGAGAGTAGTCGTCAACAGAGTAAAGTCCGAGGCAGCTATGGTGAAAAGCTCTGTTCCACAAGGCACAGTACTCGCTCCCATCTTGTTCCTCATCCTCATATCCAACATAGACAAGGATGTCAGCCACAGCACCGTGTCTTCCTTTGCAGATGACACCCGAATCTGCATGACAGTGTCTTCCATTGCAGACACTGCAAGGCTCCAGGCGGACATCAACCGAATCTTTCAGTGGGCTGCAGAAAACAATATGAAGTTCAACGATGAGAAATTTCAATTACTCAGATATGGTAAACACGAGGAAATTAAATCTTCATCAGAGTACAAAACAAATTCTGGCCACAAAATAGAGCGAAACACCAACGTCAAAGACCTGGGAGTGATCATGTCGGAGGATCTCACCTTCAAGGACCATAACATTGTATCAATTGCATCTGCTAGAAAAATGACAGGATGGATAATGAGAACCTTCAAAACTAGGGAGGCCAAGCCCATGATGACACTCTTCAGGTCACTTGTTCTATCTAGGCTGGAATATTGCTGCACACTAACAGCACCTTTCAAGGCAGGTGAAATTGCTGACCTAGAAAATGTACAGAGAACCTTCACGGCACGCATAATGGAGATAAAACACCTCAATTACTGGGAGCGCTTGAGGTTCCTGAATCTGTATTCCCTGGAATGCAGGCGGGAGAGATACATGATTATATACACCTGGAAAATCCTAGAGGGACTAGTACCGAACTTGCACACGAAAATCACTCACTACGAAAGCAAAAGACTTGGCAGACGGTGCAACATCCCCCCAATGAAAAGCAGGGGTGTCACTAGCATGTTAAGAGACCATACAATAAGTGTCAGGGGCCCGAGGCTGTTCAACTGCCTCCCAGCATACATAAGGGGGATTACCAACAGACCCCTGGCAGTCTTCAAGCTGGCACTGGACAAGCACCTAAAGTCGGTTCCTGACCAGCCGGGCTGTGGCTCATACGTTGGTTTGCGTGCAGCCAGCAGCAACAGCCTGGTTGATCAGGCTCTGATCCACCAGGAGGCCTGGGCACAGACCGGGCCGCGGGGGAGTTGACCCCCGGAACTCTCTCCAGGTAAACTCCAGGTAAACTCAGTCAGTCAGTCATTCAGTATCAGTCACACAAACTCATGTTTACCTCTTTTTCTGAGTACAAAGTAACACTTCATTACGGCTACAGGTTATCTCTTGTCTAATATCTTTGTTTCTTTGTTAATTCTAAGACTTAAGTGCTTATACCTCTTCGTGCCACTTTCAGCAACACTGGTATGGCTACTGAGTGTCATGATTGCTTGGCAGATACAAGATATAGTAATTAAAATATCAAAACACAATTCACAAACACAGCTGCCTTGTAGCAGAGAAAGACTGAACTGGACACCTATGAATTACGAACGCTGGGATGGTGGGGTGGTGTCGTGGAGTGGTAGGGGATGACGGGAGGGCTCCCCGACTGCTCCACAAGAAGCTGACCACTTGAGCAAAAGAGAATTTTTTTTCCTTCCCACAAACTGAACCAGTTAAATTAATTATAGATGTTTTTACATAAAATTTTGCCACAATTCTTAAATCATCAATACTCAAATCGTGCTAAAAGGCTGTTACTTTTTATTATATATATATAAAAAATTTAATATATATTATTTTATTTTATTTTTATATTTTTAAATATATATTATATATATTTATTTATATATATATATGTATGGGAAATTTTTTTTGGTCCAAAGTTCCACGGGACAGATAGGCGTCAAAGGGGCCCCAGCAAGGCTGTAAGGGAAAGGGTGACTGGGTGGCCCTTAAACCCCCCCCAAAACAAAGTTTCCCCCCCGATTTGGGCGTGGATGGTGGGCCTTATTAATTTATGATTTACCCTTCGGGAAGAAGTGGGTAGTTTTACGTTAGTACATAATATTGGGATTATTGAGGCAACTGTAGTAATAATAATTTTGACCCAAGCCTTAAAAGTAGAAATAGCATAGTAGGCAAACCGTTAAGTTAGCGGGGAGAACGCAGCCCTAGTTTGAATACGAGGCGCCGGTTAAAAGACACAATAGCGTCCTTCTATGACCATACACCCCTGGACAAGACGTGCGGGGATCAGAAACGGCCCCCCCAGTGTCTTCCATTGAGACCTGCGGAAATTGGTAGAGGCACCTCGATGTCCCGTAATACCCCCTCCGTCAGGCCCAACGAAAGAAAAACCTCCACCTTTTCCGTGGGATTTCTGGCCAGTGTTGGGAAATTTGTAGTGAGTTGATCTGTGGGCCCTGTATGCAGCTGGCAGTGCATTCCATATACCAATTTTTGTCATCTAGAAGCTAGTGTTGCATATTGTACTGGGGGATACACCCCCTTTTGTATAGGAATTTCTGAGGTGCAGCGGGTCACAAATATCATTGAACATTGCAGGAATTAAGGCCCCCCATGCACGGGTTTCTGAGGGAATCCAAAGGGGGCTAAGGTAAGCTTAGGGAAGTTGAAGTCCGATATATGCTGCAACACCAAAAAGTTAGTCCTTTATCTGCAGAGGGATTTCTTGAAACACAATCATTTTGAAAACTGTCCTAAAGCCATTTGGAGGCTGAGGACCGACCTCAGGCTCGGTGTCAAAGAGTTTGCCAGGGTAGGCACCACTTAAGGCAGTCCAGAAAAAAATTTTCACAAAGTGGCCCTTCGAAACCTGTGTGGAATAGCGGTTTAAAAATTAACTTTCTGGGCCCACATTTAGGAACCATTTAC